TTTCAAAGACAGCAAGAGATAGCGTTGTTTCCTAGAATCTGATATTGTCAGCTACCTCTTTAGCAGAGCCAAAAGATAGGAACAAGCTAGCACCAAAGCTTAAATACATGTCCAGTTCCTGTTCTGTTTACTGCTTGCTCTCTCTGTACAAAGAACAATTCAGATTTAGTAGACGTCAGAATGAGATCATTCCATAGATTCTATCTGAATCTGAAAAATATCAAACTCATTAGCTAAAAGATTCTTAAAACCACAATGTAAATGAAAAAAAAGAAAAAACGAAAATAAATAAAATAAAAAAGAAAAATTTATTAAAATTTATAAAAAAATATTCTGATGGCTATTAATTTCTCACAAGAAAAAATTTATATATAAACTAAATAGTAAGCATAAAGATTAATTTTCTCTTGAGACATGTGGTATTAAAACAATTTATTATCATTTAGGCAAAAAGGTTACAATGTGTTATAAACTAAAAGCGTGTATGTTTCCCATTCATACGTTCAAAGCCTAACCCTCAATAGGATAATATTTGGAGATGGGGCCTTTGGGAGGTAATTAGTGTTAGATGAGGTTATGAGGGTGGGCCCTCATGATGGGGTTAGTGCCTCTTTAAGAAGACACACCAGAAAATCTCTCTCTCTCTCTCTCTCTCTCTCTGTGCCCATACACAAAGAGGTCATGTGAGCACATAGTAAGCCAAATGAAGAGGACTCAGAATGAAACCTACCTTGCCAGCACCTTGATCTTAGATTTCCTACTCTCTAGAACTGTAAGAAATAAATTTCTATTGTTTAAGCCAACCAATCTATGGTAATTTGTTATGGCAGCCCAAGCAGACAAGACACAGCAGAAACTAAAAGCAATTTTAATGACTGACCCATTAAAATGATTGACTCATCAGACCCATGACTTCCAGCTTTATACCTATTAATTTTTCAAGTGAATTTGCTATCAATGGATTTAAATTCACAATAGGATAGGAAATAAAAGCAAAAGGAATATAATAATCAAAATTCAGGATTTTGGACTGTGAAAATCAAATTTACAATTCTGGATAAATCTCCCATCTTGCGGATTACATCTGTTGCTTTGCTTCCTTCCACTGTACTCATGTGACCATTTTGTTTTTTACTGAAAATCTGAACTAAGTGGCAACAGGAAGTAGTGAATTCAAACTGATTAATTTTGATCCTTCTAAGCAACTTTAATAAAAAGTATCATTATAGCATAAGCAGAAATCATAATTAAGATCATGATTTTCAAGATTACCCCTGACTTTAAAAACCAACAAAAATTTCCAGGAAAATGAGCTTCCTAAAATACTGGAAGCTGAGGCATACATATGACTGGATAGTGGAATCTGTTTTCTTCTCCTTGATAAAAATGAAGCCTTACTGACACACGTTTGGCAGGTCAAGTGTTTTAAATACTCTTAATCTCGAATGATGATGTGAGTCAGTGTAAAATGGCAGCTGAGTAGCAAAAATTAACTTTTACAGGAAGAGTAACAGTGGGGGCCAAAAGAATCCAAGCTGAAATATGTTTGAATTTTCTCTGGCCCATTTTCCCTCAGAGAGAGATTTTATATAGTTGGCTACGTAAATCAGGAATTTAATCTAACCTTACAATGGGTAAGGGTGGATGGGTTCATGACGGTCTCCTCACCAATGAGTAAACCTACCTGAAACTCTGTAGAGCTACGTGGTTTGGTAGCTATGTTGAAATATTTAGTTCATGCTTTGCAGGATTCAAGAAATTCTCTTTCTAAATATAAATCTGAGTTTATTTTTTTGAGACAGAGTCTCACTTTGTTGCCCGGGCTAGAGTGCCGTGGTATCAGCCTAGCTCACAGCAACCTCAAACTCCTGGGCTCAAGCAATCCTTCTGCCTCAGACTCCCCAATAGCTGGAACTGCAGGCATGCACCACCATGCCCGGCTAAGTTTTTCTATATATTTTTAGCTGTCCAAGTAATTTCTTTCTATTTTTAGTAGAGAAGGGGTCTTGCTCTTGGTCGAGCTGGTCTCGAACTCCTGAGCTCAAACGATCTACCCACCTGGGCGTCCCAGAATGCTAGGATTACAGGCAGGCGTGAGCCACGCACCTGGCCTAAATCTGAGTTTATGTCACTTGCCCAATGAAAACTTTTCACTGGCTCCTTACTCCCCACAGAATAAAGTCTAAATGTAAAGAACAGCATTCTTGACAATCAGGTCCCCTTTAATCATCTTGCATCTCACATATTTTACAGTGACATTGATATCTTTAAATTCTACATATTTCCATATTTATATGCCTTAATTCTGTTCCCCTATGTAGAACTCCTTATCCTGCTTGTGGAAATCTTATCTTGTAGACCCCAGTTAAATGTTGTTATACCCTAGTAAGTGGAATTAATTACAACTCATTCATTAAAATTCTGTTTTCAATGCTCATCACTTATCCATATGTTCATCTCCCATAGTAAACTAAAGGCCCCTTGTAAAATACAATGTCTTACTCATCTTTGTATTTTTCCCAATACTTGTCACAATACTTTGTACATAGTTTAATGTATATAAGAATGAATAAAAAATTCCATACTTGTTTTATTACCTGAATAAAAGGAATGCTTCAATTCTGCATCATCCATCATTCAGTTTATCTACCTAGACAGAAGAAAATAAATGACTATGCCTAATCTAATGGAGTATTAAAAGGGTTTACAATTTAGTAACAAGAAAATCTTTTAAAAAATTTTTTAAATCAGGTAGCCCCCCAAACCAGAATAGGTTCAGAGAGACTCCCAATAAGAAAATCTTGAGATGTATTTTATAAAAAGTGGTGGTTTCTGTTTCCAAGTCCATTAAGCAAGCCAGCTCCCAAATCTTAATGTTCTGAATGCCTGAAAGAACAGCTTAGTATCTGCTTCAGTAAAATCTCTTGAGGCTAGATATCTTGAAAGCAATTTGCTGCCTTCTATATTACCCATCTAATTACAGAATATTACATTAGGATTATATTAAATTACCCTGTTATTCAATAAAAAGATCTACAATTTTAGTTACTCTGGAACAAATTTACATACCAAATCAGAAACCATGCAAAGCAAAGTCAATGGTGACTCTGTGAATAATCAATTTAATAATTTTCCTCTAAACAGATACTTATCTTTCTCCTTCTCCCACATAGCTAAAATACTATATACAATCTTTGGCCAGAAGCTTATATAGTTTTTAAGTAATTGTAATTAATAGCATCTCTTGAATTATTCCTTATTTGTGTATTTTAAGCAATTTCAAGTTACATAAGGTTATATAAGGGGAAAAAACTAAATCTTGAAAACTTTTATAATAAAGCAGTCATAAACTAAAAACAGGATGGAAACAGATTAAGAATTTGAGATTTTGTCCTTAGAGTACATCTTTAGAATGCTTCCTGTGTTGGCCCAGGTTTCTCCCAAAAATAATTCCACATCATAGTTAAATGCCAAAAATCACCAAATTTTCTAATATCATAAAATATTATAAAACCAAGCCTTGGCTATTTTCTATTAAAAAAAAAGGGCTATAAAACTAATTAGTATCTTCTACATTCCTTATGTAGTCTGCTACTCTACTGGTTACTCTATTCCAAATAGAGTAATATTCAAGTGCAAAATACTCTAAGAACACATCAAAAGAAAAATAATTGTAAAATTAAATAAGGGTTCAAAGAACCAATTATCTAATTTGCACCTATATAATTAAGAAAACATTATAAATCAATAATTAAAGAAATAAAGCAGCAGCAAGACTGCCAAACTTGGTCTCTAAGAAACATAATGACTGTTTCTCAGATACCGAGATTAAAAAAAAAAAAATCATGTTAACAAACAGGCAGGTAAGGAAAGGTAAAAAGCAAACTCATCGATCATTCCCCCTCCCAAAAATAATGCTGGGTTGGTCTAATTCTCAGAAACAATGATCAACAGGACATATTTAGATAATACTTCAATATTTCTATAAATGACTAAATTCAAGAATTTAACAAATTTCAAATGATTACAAACATTCGCTTTCATGGTATTATAATTGAAGACAAAAAATATATGAGTATACAAAGCAAAAATATGTTCAAAAAATATATATATGAGTAGGCCCAGGATTTTCTCTAGTAAAAATATTTTACGGTTAGGATTCCCTCTATACTCACTGGAAAATCCAAAGAGTGATTTGGATTTGCTGTGAAGTGACTGTTTACAATACAGGAAAGCACCAAATTTTCAAGGTGATTCTAAATTATACTCTTTAGTAGTAGAAGCTCACTGATACTAACTGGCTTTCATTCTGCTAGGTTACTTTTACCCAGTAACTTACTTGCCATCTAAGTTCTTACACTTTTTATTAGGACTCCTTTATCAGCAAGGGGGAAAAAATAATCCAAAATCAAGCACGATGAATGTTTCCTACTATTAATCACTCCAAGCAACACATTAGCCTTTAACTTTATGGGGAAAAAAATTAGCCTTTTCTAAAAGGACACTTTTGGCCAGCTCAGAAATGTGTGGGAAAGTCGCCAGAAGTAATTACAAAGTAAAAAAAAAAGCATGTTCTTTTCTTTCCTTCCCCTTTCATTTTTAGAATGATCTCTGAAATACTTGTTTCAGTCCATAAAGTCATCTCTTGAGAGAGAGTTCTTGATTAGTGTAGTCTCCAAATCAAGTGCATAACTTAACATTCAGGTAAAAAAAAAAAAAAAAAAAAAAAGAATTACTGCTCAAGAATCAGAATCGAAAGGCCGGGGTGTAGTGGTTCATACCTGTAATCCCAGTGCTTTGGGAAGACGAGGCAGGAGGTTTGCTTGAGCCCTGGAGTTCCAGACCAACACTGCAAGACCTCATCTCTACAAAAATTTTAAAAGTAGCCAGGCATGGTAGCTCATGCCTGTAGTTCTAGCTACTTGGGAGGCTGAGATGGGAGGATCACTTCAACTGCAGACAGCTATAATTGTGCCACTGTACTCCAGCCTGGGTGAAAAAGCAAAATCCTTTGTCTTGAAGAAAAAAAAAATCAGAATTGATTAAAGGTCATCTCTTATAACCACAGCCCCACTACTGTCAGCTGAAGTTTGTAGTTCTACAATAGGAGAATATGTCCTGAGTCTATGGAAATTTAAATGACTTAATAATAAAGAAAAAGAGAAAAGACCAAGAAAACTAGGTATACCAGTTAATCAGATCTTTAAAAAAACTATTAAAGAGAGTCGCGAGCGAGGGAGCCTGAGATTGTACGACTGCACGAGCGAAGCAATGCCTAAGTCAAAGGAACTTGTTTCTTCAAGCTCTTCTGGCAGTGATTCTGACAGCGAAGTTGACAAAAAGTTAAAGAGGAAAAAGCAAGTTGCTCCAGAAAAACCTGTGAAGAAGCAAAAGACTGGTGAAACTTCAAGAGCTCTGTCATCTTCCAAACAGAGCAGCAGCAGCAGAGATGATAACATGTTTCAGATTGGGAAAATGAGGTATGTTAGTGTTCGGGACTTTAAAGGGAAAGTTCTAATTGATATTAGAGAATATTGGATGGATCCAGAAGGTGAAATGAAACCAAGAAGAAAAGGTATTTCTTTAAATCCGGAGCAATGGAGCCAGCTGAAGGAACAGATTTCCGACATTGATGATGCAGTAAGAAAACTGTAAAATTCGAGCCATATAAAACCTGTACTGTTCTAGTTGTTTTAATCTGTCTTTTTACATTGGCTTTTGTTTTCTAAATGTTGTTTTCCAAGCTATTGTATGTTTGGATTGCAGAACAATTTGTAAGATGAATACTTTTTTTAATGTGCATTATTAAAAATGTTCTGAGTGAAGCTAATTGTCATGTTTATCAAGGAGGATTGCTTTGTGCCCACCACCTAGTGTAAAATAAAATGGAATAATACAATCTCAGCTGTTGTGGCCTTTTTTGATCAGAAGATACTGTTTAAGGCCCAAAGTAACAGTTTTATAGACCTTTTAGTTTCAATTCACCTTTTACAATAAGAAGGATTTGTGTTTATAAACTTTTGGTTTGTGAAATCCATACTTGATCTTTTCTCTTCCAACCAAATTTTTAGACTTGTTTGACTTTTCCACTCCAAGGATATTTCACTCTTTTCTTTTTTACTTCATTTTCTTTTAATAACTTAACCTCTTCCAGTTTAGTTTTCATTTTACTCTCTACTATTTTCCTTGAATATATTCTAATTTGAAAAGTCAGTAAAACCATCAAAATATTATGTCAATAAGGTTACTTATATGAGAACTACAATCACTAAATCTACTGTATTAAATATTAGCAGATATAGTTTGATAAGCAACATAGCACGTATGAAAACTCTGAGCAAGTGTATGTCATTACCCATAGTGTTCTGTGTAGTTATCTTATTGCCTAGTCTGCAGAAAATAATGACTTAGGTGAGATGTCTGATTTGCTTTCACTTATTAAACATGTTCACCATGGGATGATGTCTATAAAATCAAATGTTAAACTAGACTAGGATTTAATAAAAATTGTGAAAGCTTACTGGCCTAACATTTTATTTTATAACATTGAGTGTGGATTGTATGTAGCCAGAGATGTCACTGAGGTTTTTTGTCATAGTAGGTAATGTAGGTAGTTTGTAGGGCAAAGAGCTTATCAGGCATATACTTGTGTTTTTTGGCCTTTGCTTCAGTAGACTTGGTTATTTTGCAGTTAATCTACTGGATAGTGGCATTCTAGACTTGATGTTATTAAGCTTTAACAGACACTCATAAGTGGTTTTCATTTAACCTAATGATGAAGCAGACAGATTGAGGCACAGATTTCAGGGGCTTTGCAGCAATAAATAGGGCATGGTGTGCCTTAGGAAAAGAATGTTTGTAAAGGGAACTATAACAAATGAAAGATGGTGGCAGTGAAGAGGAAAGAATTCTTGTCTGACTAAATGATATACACATGATATTTTGAGATTTTTATAACATCAATAGGACACAATTCTAGATAGAATAGTAAAAATAAAGGTTTAAAGATGTAAAAAATTTGTGTTGACAAATTATTATTTTTGGTAGCAAATCTCAAATGGCTATTGCCATTAAGGGCTGCCATAGCAGAGTTGCACTATTTTGCTACCGAGTTTGATTCCTACATCTAAAGCATTTTGTAGTAGAATCGTCAAGGACTTAATTTCAAAACCATCTGCCAGGGCACATAGGTACCAGTTTTTTCTGGCAGGTATTCTGGTTTTTGTTTTATTTTGTTTTGTTTTTTAACACTTTTTAGAGAACTTTTTAATGTAGTTAGCAGTGCAAATTGATAAACTAAATTTGTGGTTTAGTTTTCATCAAATAGTAGGTACTGTGTGTTCAAAATACATATTTTAGACAAACAAGCTTGATTGATACCCCTCCCCCCTGTCCCACATGGAACATGTGTGTCCTATTAAATTAATTGGATAGATTTTTCAAATATTCCTTATTTCGGATACACAGAAAGGGTAGTTAGAACTTTGATTTTGGTGTAGATGAAGATGAAATGATGGGTAAATTTCCTAGGTTTATATGAATTTAGGGGGTGTGTGCATTTTGAAACAAATCTAACATAGGGATGGTGCTGAAATCTATTATCTAGGCATTTTCTAGTTGTTTAGCATTTTGTTAATTAAGGAGTGTTTCTCTGCACAGTTGGTAAGTTGACTGCTAATTTTATTTAAATATTTTACTGGATATGCTATATACTGAAATTATTAATCTTTGTGAAATGATGAGAACTGGGTTAAAAGAAGAAACAAATTACACTGAAAAGAAAGGATAGAGTACTCTTGTTTTCTGTTTAAACTTTGTCTTTGGTAAGATTTTTCCCAAGAACAAAGCTTGGCATTTTGAAGGATAAGTATCTTACCTTGTAATGCTAAAATGGACTTAATTAATGCCTGTACTCAGATTATGCCCTTTATTAGACTTTGTATCAGGGCTTTCTAATGGATTTTTCCTCTTTGTTTTTAAACTATGAGCAACATTTGACCAATGTCCAATGCTCTTAGCATTTTATTTGAAGAACAACCACTAAAAACTAACTTATTATCAAGTTATCAATCAAATTATAAAAATTTGATTATCCTCTTTTACTTTGCTTTATAAATGCCTAAGAACTTCTTTTGAAGAATACTCCTACCTCATTGGCTAGTCAAGATGCTGTGATCAATCTATCCTACATAATGTGTTTAGAAACAAAGACTTAAGAAAAAACAAATGGAAATAAGTACATCCTGGCTTTGCTATTGAGGGAAAAAGAGAAAGGATTGAGTATCAAAATTTATTTAAGTGTTCCTGACAGAGGTATGTTAAAAGAATACTATAAAAGTTTAGAATTTTATAAAAGTGCTGATTAATATTTAGGTATCTTTCCTGAAATTCTTTGCAGTTCACTTTTTATGGAAATATAATCCAGTGAAACACTCAAAAGTTTTTTTGTTTTTTTTTTAACTGATGTTTTTCCAGATGAACTCTAGGATAAACATTCATATAGTCACAAATAATGTAATTCTGTAATTGTGGAATGCCTGTATGTTTTGTTTAATACATCTTCCATGGAGATGTCTGGATATAATACTCCATCTGTGAATATTTTAAATGTTGAAATAAAAATAAGAAATGTGAAAAAAAAAAAACTATTAAAGAAGCTGTAAAATGTATGACAAGGAATAGCAGAGGTGTAAAATTTGAGGAGAAAAATACTCAAATTTATTTAATTATCTGCTATGTTGCTTCAAAGAAAAATAGTTCTCGGTTACCGTATAAAGGCATTAAAAAAAAAAATAGAACTCAGGCTGGGCACAGTGGCTCATGCTTGAAATCCTAGCACTCTGGGAGGCCGAGGTGGGAGGATTGCTTGAGCTCAGGAGTTCGAGATCAGCCTGAGCAAGAGCAAGACCCCATCTCTACTATAAATAGAAAGAAATTAGCCAAACAACTAAAAATAGAAAAAATTAGCCAGGCATGGTGGCATGTGCCTGTAGTCCCAGCTACTCTGGAGGCTGAGGCAGGACTGCTTGAGCCCAGGAGTTTGAGGTTGCTGTGAGCTAGGCTGACACCACAGCACTCTAACCTGGGCAACACAGAGAGACTCTGTCTCAAAAAAGAAACAGAACTCAGAGCACAGGTTTGTTCCTATCTCTCAATCTATTTATAAGGACAAAACAGAGCTAAGTTAAACTATATAAAAACTTGTAAAATCAACCTGTGAATAGATAAAAAATGGTTCTCTGCTCAATAGAACAGACATAATGAGAAAACAATAGCTATCCTTTTTTAAGGATTAAAAAATAGGGTCCTCTATTGATAACATGCAAAATCTGGAAACTTCCCAAATGCTCATCAGCAGTAGAATGGATAAGCATATTGTGATATATTCAGACATTGGTGTACTGAGCAGGGCTGGCAAAATTTTTTCTGTAAAGAGCCAGGCAGCAAATATTTTACACTTTGTTGGCCATACAGACTCTGTTGCAACTATTCAACTCTGCTCTTATAGAGCAAAATCAACTGTATTATGGACAATGAAATTTTAATTTCATGTAATTTTCATCTATCATAAACATTGTTCTTTTTTGTTTGAACCATTTAAAATTATAAAAATGTCAGGCATGGTGGTTCATGCCTATAATCCCACACTTTGGGGAGGCCAAGGCAGGAGGATTGCTTGAGGCTAGGAGTTCGAGAACAGCCTGGGCAACTGGGTAAGATCCCATCTCTACAAAAAAATTAGCTGGGCATGGTGGCCCACACCTGTAACCCTAGCTACTCAGGAGGCTGAGGCAGGAAGATCACTTGAGCCCTGGAGTTCAAGGTTACAGTGAGCTATGATGGCACCACTGCACTCCAGCCTGGGTAACAGAACAAGACTCTGTCTCTCAAAAATAAAAAATAAAAATATAAAAAACATTTTTATTTCACTGGCTATACTGTAACAGGCAGGGAGCCAGATTTAGCCTGTGGGTTATCATTTGCTGATCCCAGTTCTACAGCAACAAGAATGAATCATCTACAATTATGTACAATAATGCTGAATTTCACAAACATAATGTTGAGTGAAAGAAGATAGGCATAAAAGAGTATTGTAAGATTCCATTAATATAAAGCTTGTAAACAGGAAAACTCAACTATGGTATCAGAAATTAGAAAGTGGTTCCCTGGAAGGTGGGGCTCCAGTGACTGGAAGAGAGCATGACAGGGGCTCTAGAGTGCTGGCAGTGTTTGATTTCTCCATCTGGGTGGTTACAAGGGTACATCATTCAGTTTGTGAAGAGTCACAAAGGTGCACATGTGAAATTTGTTTGCCTTTCTGTATGCATATTATCTAAAATAATAAGTTTTTTAAAAAATTAAATTCAGGTAGACAGCTACCTAAAAAGCCAGAAAGGACATAAAGACCTACTGACTTTAGGGATAGATATAATTAAAGAGAATCTAAGGAAAACCAAATTAGATATATATGTGTTAGAGTGGAAAGCATAGTGTGGAATTCTCTAGAGAAAGTATACCACTTTATATCTCTATATCATAAAATTTATTATATATTACTAAGCAAATCTGGATGATAAAATATACTAGACTTGAAGATCCTGATATAAACATCAAATTTATATAAAATTCATGTTAATATTTATGACTTTAAGTGTAAAATCTACTGTTTTTCTCGGTGGCTCACGCCTGTAATCCTAGCACTCTGGGAGGCCGAGGCGGGCGGATTGCTCGAGGTCAGGAGTTCAAAAACCAGCCTGAGCAAGACCCCGTCTCTACCAAAATATAGAAAGAAATTAATTGACTAACTAAAAATATATATACAAAAAAAATTAGCCGGGCATGGTGGCGCATGCCTGTAGTCCCAGCTACTAGGGAGACTGAGGCAGTAGGATCGCTGAGCCCAGGAGATTGAGGTTGCTGTGAGCCAGGCTGACGCCACGGCACTCACTCTAGCCTGGGCAAGAAAGTGAGACTCTGTCTCAAAAAAAAAAAAAAAAAAAAAGAAAGCTAAAGATACTAATGATATAAGATTCATTATCCCAGGTAAATGTCTGTTACTGATTTTAAGGGATCAAAAAAGATTATAAGAGGGAAGAGAAAAAAATATATAAAAAATAAATACATTTTCTGCCTTCATTCCTTTATATGCATATTCTTATTTATTGTCAGAATACACTCACTCCCACCCTCAGGCCTCTTCCTTGAATGTCAAGTCCAGGAGGCAGGGAAGTTGTTTGGTTTGCTGATGTTTCACATAGTAGGTACATAATAAATGTTCATTTGAATAAATATACTTTAAACAAATTATAAATAATTTGATTATTTCTTAAGAAAGTAACATATGATTAGGACAAACATAAAATGGAAATCTAAGGATTTCATAAATGGTGGTTTCTTTTTTTAGAAATACATCTGTAGAAAATTGGGGAAGAGAGCTATACCACTATCATATGTCATGACAGGGAATAATGTCCAGAATAATATCTTTTGGCCATAATCTCATACTGGCATATAAAGA